CAATATTTGGCTTTTTAACATTTATAACATAAAAGATACCACCATTTTAACTTTTAAGTAGTTAAATATTGCATGCATGATAATGCGGTATGTAAGTAAATACACCGAAATGTGGTATTTATACTTTCTAAAAATTTATACTTTTCTTCGAAGGGACATTGGTGGTATTTTAATAACCCGTACAACTATCATCCAACAACCGCAACACTTAGGGGTGTAAACGAACCGAACATGAATGAACAGAGCTTGTGTTCGTGTTCGGTTCGTTTGAAATTTAGCATTTTATCATATTTTATAATTTATAAAATTTAATTGGTTAAAATATCATAAATCTTTTATATATAATTATTTTTAATTATTTTATTTTTTATTCGTATTTAATTTGTTTAGCTGACCAAAAGAAAAAAATTTATTCACAAACGAATAGAAGAAAACTTATTCAACAAAGTTTTTTGACGGCCTAGCGACACGTGAAACTTCCGTTCCTTTTGATTTCGCCTTTGGCCCTCTTCTCCGTGCCGCTGTGACTTCTATTCGAAGAGGGAAGAACTTTCCTTGATTTGCTTCCGCTGACTCCATTTTCGTGCTGTTATTCGTTAGTAGGTTTTTTTGTTCCTACTTTGTCTCATATAGATTTTTTCCTTATACTTATAATAGTGCGATCAATTCCTGCCATATTTGGATTTTAATTTAAGAGTTCAAGGAAGGAGGCAATCGTATCCATATTATTTTTTTCTGTTGAACCAAGTTAAAAGAAATCAGTCGTTTGATCTGCGATTCCTTGAAGCGCATGATCATCTGACAAGGCGTGCACTCTCTACCAGCTGTTTCAATTCCGATTTTTGAATTTCTGTTCTATGACAGTATAATGCACCTAATCTGTAATTACGAGGTGAATTACTAGATATAAAATCTGATCTTGTGCGGTAAATTGTGTGCTTTTCATGAGGATGGTGATTTTTTTTTTAAATTTTCACCAGAACAAATATTTTTGTCCCATTTGGTTAAGGAAGTAAATTTTCCTATTTGTTCTACTTTATGGCTAAATCTTTTGCCGTTCAATACATCTATGTCAAGGTTGCTTTCCTTTTATTGTGCGGTTCTGTTTGGTGATTATAGTTTATTGAATTGCGCAGGTGACCTATTTGGAGCAGACTTATTAGCTTATTTTTAAGGCAGAATTCTACTATAAACTGGCTTTTTGATGCGTAATGGGTGGTTCTGTAATAAAACCTGAAGACGTGTTAGAATCTCTAATGAATGATGGCACTATAGATGCAATCAGACTAAAGATAATTAATCAATTAAAAGGAAATGTAAGTGCACTGATTTCTGACTCTTCTTGTCTTCTTAATTTAGTTGATGCATCAAGTTTTCAATATGTTTGTTTACTAGCTTTTGGATTAAGAATTTGGTGTAGTATTAGATGATTCTATCTGTTGTAAACTCACTAAGTTCATCAAAAGTTCAGAAAACAAAAAAAAATATTACATCAGTACTACGCACGTAGAGTAACGTGCATAGCCAATGAAATCACGCCACATTACTGCGCCGTTTTTTCTCCGTCGGGAATATTCCCCGTGTTATTCAAGTGTTATTGTGCGTTATTCATGTGTTATTGTATCCTGAGAATATTCTTGGTGTTATAATAACACAATAACACATCAATAGGACGTAATAACACATGAATAACACACAATAACACCAGAATCAGGACATAACAACACATGAATAACACACAATAACACCAGAATAACATGGGGGAATATTTCCGATAGAGAAAAACGGCGTGGTAACACGGGGGAATATTCCCCCCATGTTATTCATGTGTTATTGTGTTATTATAACACCAAGAATATTCTCATGACACAATAACACATAAATAACACATAATAACACTATGAATAACACACAATAACAAGTAATAATTCACAATAACACATGAATAACATGGGATAATATTCCCCGTGTTACCGCGCCATTTTTTTTCTGTCGCGTGGGGTGTCGTGGCGTGATTTCTTTGGCTACGCACGGTACTCTACGTGCGTAGTACTGATGGTAATACTGATGTAATATTTTTCCCAGAAAGCAAGGATAAGAAAAGTGTCGACATGGATTGCAGATTTTCAGTCCAAATAAAGAAAAAGAAAACTTATGACAACAGAGATTGAATGAGAAATTTGAGTAACATCTGGCTTTTTAACAAGAAATTGTATGAGTTTTTAGGGAAGTTACAAATAGATTTCATATCTACTTTACTGAAGCTGGTTATTAGCTTTGTAATACAAATGTTGATTCTTGTATTGTAATCAACCCGACAATTGTTTTGATTACGTCCTATGTTCAACTTTGGAAGACCTATAAATAAAATTGAACAGACTGAACAGGAGACCAAAACTATTTCCCTCTTTAATTTTTTTCTTTATCTTCCTACCTTGGAGACTACGATTTCCTTTATGGACTGCAATCAACTTTTTCAAAGCACCAATCATTGCTTTTTTTTTTTGGAACTCTTTGTCAAACAATGCGCTGCTCACATTTGGCTGCTGTAGTAGACCCGGTGTAATGGCCAAAGGTTCGTTGAACATCTCCAAGAAATTTGCAAGGTAAAGGAGCAGGCTTCTTCCTTAACAATGATGCTCAATGACATTTCATGAAGATCATCTTTGATTGAAGAAATGATTGATCAGCCATCACATTTGAAACACATCGATAATGATGATTGAGCGGTGTTTTCATGCATTTTTTTACCATAGTTCATGTTATTTATCCAGCGGCATGAACCTAGGTGTGGTGAAAATGGACATGCCACACTTTAATTAAGATAACTTTTAAGGTTGGCTTGCCAAACTATATCAATTTTTTTCTTATAACTCTCTTTCAGAGGAACATTGATTCACTAATCATGAAAAGTAAACAAGCTTTTGAATTTTTTCTGTTGATTGATTGATTTTTGAGTGGACTATATTTTGTTGGCAGGGTTTCAGTATTTTGATTGTTTGATTGAGAGTAAAACAAAGTCAAATTACTTTTATAGGTGTTTTGAATGTATCAACTATTTCAATTTTGATTCATTTAAAATTCTCTTAATTTAGTCGACTTCCAAGTGCATCACGCAATGTGATGCAATATCCACTCATGTTAACCTCCGACGTTACCTGCAACAGTATAGGCTCTAGCACTAACTTGCTACTCACTCTAGCCTTTGATGTTGACTTAACAACCAGTGACCTTTGATGTTAACTTCCAAGCATATGACATTGATGCGACCTTTCACTTGTGCCTTATTTAGCTCCGATATCATCATTTTTCACACCTTCGACCTTTGACTTTTAATGGACCTATTGCTCTAACCTCTAACCAACTCCTCGATTCTTACTCCTAAAAATACCTAAAAAATAAAATTATATAATTCACTTTACATCAAACCAATCATCCAAAAATAATATTATGAAATTACTTTACCACAATTTGAACTCCAATAAGTATTTCAAATTTGTAGAGTTTTTTTACACCATGCTTAGAATATGGTCGATTTTTAAATACTTATAACCAATTAACCAAATAGTCTCTTAAAGAAAGTGTTCTCCGATATTTCAGACCATCATTATTTTGATAATTAAAAAGGTGTTTGCCAGTTTCCAACAGACTTCTTTTGTTCATAATTTTTATTGTAAGTTTGAAGAGATTTCCAACCAAATATTGGGTATTCTAAACTCTAAACCCTTGTTTAATTTTTTTTTTTTATTTTTTTTTTTATTGACATCCTTTTATATAATAGTTTTTTTTTTTAGCGGGCATAGGCCACCATTGTGTGTTAAACTTTCTTCAACATATGTATTATTTGTAAAACCTACAGTGTGTGTTTTCTCAAACACAAAATAATTATTTATGGCACATAGTTTCTGAAAAAGGAAAAGTTGTGGCTGCAAATCCAACTAAGCTAGAAATGGTACTGGCAAAACCCCAAATCATTGAATACTCAACAGGGTTCTTGATTTTAATTAGCTACTATTGCGAATTCGTTTAGCATTATGTGACGATTACAACATCTCTAACAACTCTGCGGGCATGTGACTAATTTTGCTAGTTTAAGGAGTTGTAGTTAGCATTCAGTGCTTTGAAAGATGCAATGACGTCATTGCTTTTTTTGGCTTGTCTGATTTTTTTTTTCCATTTATAGTAGAAAAAAATGCCTCAAACATAGCCATTGGTGTTGTTTTCATATAACTGACTCATCCTCTCACTTACCTTAAACAAAAAGCTAGCTTAAACAATACAGAAGGCTTCCCCTAATGCTTGTGAGCTATATACAATCATTGAATCTTGTGTCATTGGCGACAATATGTCAGAGGCAAACATTTAATCTTTTTAGATCAATGCAATATTTACTAGCTCATTTTGTAGGACATTTTAACTGGTAGTGACAGTCTTTTATCATCAAATTATCTTGTGATCACATGATTGAGCACAATCTTGGATCTTTCAATTAGGTCACTAATGCTCTGCCCAAAAATATCAAATTTGAGGGAAGCACTCAACCCATGGTTTTAGATGTAGCGAAGCAATAGAATTGCACTTTAATAGCTAGGGCTGTCATAGTGCATAACCTAGTCGAGTCAAATATGCCATGGTTTGGACTTGGCTTGATCGAATCATAAGCTGTACATGCTTAGTTTGATCTTGAGAAGAGCTTCAAAAATATATTTATTTTTGGCTTGCTTAAAATTTTTGATGTTCATACTTGATTTGTACTTGACGTATTATACAAAAACAACAAATCTTTATCCCACTAAGTGGGGTCAACTACATAAATCCTTTTTCTCCATTGCGTCCTATTGAGTGTCATTTTCATTTAATTCTATAAAATAGAAATCATTTTTTATACAATATGCCCGGGTCTTTTTTAGGTCAACTTCTGTCTTTCTTAACATAAGTCAAATCTAAAACAAATTGGTACTTTTTTTTCATATAAAAGTAAACATATGATTTGTACATAAATTTTTCATATGAAACTAGTAAACAAGTTGAATATTTAAATGAGTATTTAATTTTTATATAAAGTTATTAACACCTTACAAATCTAAGCAAATAAGCATTTGAATAGATTCCAAATTAGAATTGACTAGTTAATACCAAGCAAGCAAAATAATGTATAAGCTATGAGTAAGTTTTTTTTGCAATCAAATAACATAAATAAGTACTAACAAACTAGTTCATTGAAAATAAAAAAAAAGATAATAATATTTTTTTTAAATTTATGTGTACATTGATAGTAAATTATAATATGCTACTATTAAATATATTATTAAATAAGTTCTAATTAACTAATTTTTATTTAAATAATATATCATATAAGTATAGAGCATGTACTAATTTTTTGTTGAAGTAAAAATAATTCTGTTTATGAATTAATAAGCGAGTTGGACTATGTTCAAATTTAGTTCATTTAAGTTTTGAGTTTTAAAAAATATTCGAACTTTTTTATTTACTAATTTGAACAAATTTTATCGAGTATTAATCGAGCGAGTTTGAGTTGTCCATCAAGCTCCTTGGTTCATTTACAACTCTATTAATAGCCAACACTTCGGGTCTGTTTGGGGTGGTTTTAGCTTTTTAAAAAAGTGGTTCATTTACAACTCTATTAGTTGCAGTGAGAATTATAAATATATTTTTTTCCTAAAAACTTAGACAATAACTTTCTTATAGTCATCTCACTTTGACAGGTCAAGTTGAAAAAAAATAGTTTCTCACTATTGATATTTCTAAAAAGTAGTAAAAATACAGTTTCCCAAATAGAACTATGGTAACTGTCTGAAATGCAAAGCAAATAGAAAGCTATCCCAAATCGACACTTAGCATGCATTAACTTTATTAGATCTGATCAAGCAAGAAAAGCAATATCTTGCAGATGGAAAATATTTTTATCAGGATATTTACCAAGAGTTGAATACATTTGATTTTCATTTTTTACACAATGGTTTGATATGCTACAAAAACAGAATGATAATATCCTCCACCTCATCTCTCAAAAACACTATTATCACAAAAGTAAACTGCATTCCAATAGGTCATGGCATTGTTCGATGGGCAATGACATGGATAATAGCTCAATTTCATGGGCCCAATATAAAAATGAATATTCAAATTTTTGTGCTTACATGCCGTCTTTGTCGAGAAACAAAATACGACATCGAATAATTTTTCGGGTTTGCTTCTATTATCACTAATACCAAATGTGGTGTGCAGAGGCTGCAATATATTCATAACTAGTTTGCCTAAATCACATGGAAAAGAAATGCTATTTGCATAGTCA